TCTTCTGCTCCCACTCCATGAATGTCAAGTCATACACAGAATACGGGTCTTTCAACAAGTCATTGGTCCGCTCAACCGATTTGGATGTAAACCAACTAAACATTGAATCGGTTTTATTAGTCAGACAGCAATCACTACAACAAGCAATTTTGGTCAGCTTTTGATGGACAACAGGTTGTGACAGATATTGCTTTTATGCGTATAACAAATATCTCAAGACTTTTGTTAACTGATAATTAGTTATCAATTATTTGAATTTTAAAAGTAATTGTAGTCTCGCGTAACTTTTAACAACTAGTAACTTTTGTTAACTTTCTGCTTATCATTTCTAGTTAGTTATATTGTTGAAGTGCGATTGTTTGATCATAGTGAAACTGTAAATTACATTTATCGCCAACAATACTCATTTTTGTAAAAATAATAATCCGTATTAAAATCAGTAAATTAAAACCAACATCAATTGTTTTTGGGCTATTTTACAAAAACGAATGACAAATATTGATGACATAAGATATATAAGATGTATAATAAATAATTAATGTGATTGTAGAATATAAAATAATTAATGGTGAATTAGTTTTAAAAGGTTCTACCATGTATAATTAGTGTAAATAATACAATTAAATATCTTAATTTTAGTTTATAAACTATGTTAATTTTTTCCCCACAGTAAGTAAAAAGACATGTAAATTACACGCATTTTTGTATTTTACAATGTAAATTACATAACTTTTTAAAAAATCATGAAATTTACCAACCTTAAAGATTTTTAGTTACGATTAAGGTTGGTAAATTACAAGGATTTTTTTGAAGCTACGTAATTTACATTGTAAAATACAAAAATGCACGTAATATACACGTAATTTTACTTACTATGGGGAAAAAATTAACATAGTTTATGAATTAAAATTAAGCTATTTAATTGTATTATTTACACTAATTATACATGGTAGAACCTTTTAAAACTAATTTACTATTAATTATTATATATTTTACAATCAAATTAATTTAATACATCTTATTAAATTTGTATACAGTAAACCCAATTATAAGAAAGTTATATTTTATACGAGTTGCTGATTCAATCATTGATTTTCGGCAAAAATTGCCTCAATATTTGTCATATGTTTTTGTAAAATAGCCCAAAACAATTGATTTTGGTTTTGATTATTTGTTTTTAATCGAACATTTTTTTTATAAGAACGTATTTTACAAAATGAAAAATTTGTGTACGTAAAATACACTGTAAAATACAACGTAAATTACATACGTAAAATACGTGGTTTGTCATATTGCCAACCCTAGTTACGATGTAGAACGAGAGTTAAAGCTGTGCAATAGTAGGCGTGTCGGTTCATACCTATCACTTCATATGCTTTTGCCTTTGAAATAGCGTTCACGGAAGGTAAAACACACTCAAAAATTACGTTCGTTATTACGTAATTACTACGTAATTTATTGATGACGACCTTTAGGTCATTTATAAGTACAAAAGCCTGATTTGTGGGAAAACAATGATAGCGTTCACGGAAGGTAAAACACACTCAAAAATTACGTTCGTTATTACGTAATTACTACGTAATTTATTGATGACGACCTTTAGGTCATTTATAAGTACAAAAGCCTGATTTGTGGGAAAACAATGACAGATATATAAATGAGAGTAATATCACAGTATTCTGTACATTGCAACGCGTGTCTTGACATAGAGTTAATAGATGTGAGTGTTTTGGTTGTCTCTCTAGATTTTTTGAAAGTTTTAGTCTATGAGGGCATCAATGCTTAAGCGATCCAATATGGCTGACAAGTGGTTTGATGTGTGATTGAATGCCAAACTCGTGTTGCCATAAATAAATAGACGTTTAGTTTGGGAAATGTGTTAACTGGACATCTAATTGATTGGATGTAGTCTTGGATAATGGCCTCAGAGATAGATACGTATATCATTATATAGCGTCCCACTTAAACTGTTAGCGCTCGTGAGGCCAGTGATACATAGGGTTATACTATACCTGATCTCATTTGTATTTACTATTAATGAATTGTTTATTTCCGGCGCTGGCCTCATGGGCACCGGCCTTAGAGTTATAATATATTAATTGATTTGTTATTATTTACATTTAGGGTTTTGGATTAATAAAAAAGTACAGCGCCGTTATATCAGATGTAATAAAAGTGTTTTACAATTTAAAGAGTACATTTACTGAAAATACATCACTTCTCTAAACTGCCAATAAGAATGCATTTGCCTGTGATTATTTCACAAATAGATTTTCTATGTTAATATATCACTATTTTGCTCCGTATCGAGATACAGATTTGATAAGTACAGATTACGAACATGTCTCATGAAACAATTGAATTGTATGGTCGGCTATCAAATTACAATTCAAAAAAGTTGTTCACTATTGGATTAACAATAAGCATATTTAGTACTCTCTATTAAATTATAGGTTTCAAGCATCAAACCCGAGCCATCCAGCGCCTCTAAGGCCAGTGATAGCGAGGGTTGTGCTATACATGATCTCTATTGTATTAACTATTAATAAATGAATTGTTTATCTCTTGCACTGGCCTCATGGGCACCGGCTTAATTGATTTTACATTTCAAATAATAAATAAACCAATTTAAATGACATACTATATGAATGACAAATATTGAGCAGTAGTATCAGAGACTGATCAATGACTATACACACGCCATCTGATGAGTGAGCTTTTTGGGAGGTAATCGGTCCGTAATAGTTACCCGGGCACATTACCTGAGACCTACAAATCTGTAGGTAAGTCGCTTTCGCGAACACTACTTTGAAATGAGTTTTGAAAATTGCATCAGAAATTCATTGCAATTGAAGGCAAGTATTAAACACTGTTTTTCCGATTCCGGCATTCATTCAGTCATTCAGTGCCGCACTTGTAATCAGTTATTGTGGGCTAACGCAGGCCTACACTATAATTGTCATTAAAATGTATTTTCTAATCAAAAGACATAAAAAGTGTTTATTTATTGTCAGCAAAAACTTGTGCCGATTTGAGTCAGTGTTCAGTAAGAATCATAGGATCCGTATATTAGATCAAGTGAATCACTCATATCTGCCGTCACTCCTGAAGAGTATTGAAAACGAAAAATGACTATACACACGCCATCTGATGAGTGAGCTTTTTGGGAGGTAATCGGTCCGTAATAGTTACCCGGGCACATTACCTGAGACCTACAAATCTGTAGGTAAGTCGCTTTCGCGAACACTACTTTGCGCCCCTTTTGGACAATGAGTCACACATTTGGTGCCAATTGTTGGCAATTTGTTCATAAAATTACGTTACGTTTTATATGAGATGTTTTGCTGTGCATTGAGTTTATAATGGGCTTAGAGTTTAACACTTACCTCAAACCCATTGACCGACCCGTCAATCAATAATAAGTGTTTAAAAGTATTTAATAAGTTATAAATTATACAATACTAATGAAAATATCAAATAATAGTACAAAACAAAATGAATACATCAGAATAAATAAGAAACAACGGGAATACAGGGTATATAGCGGTGCGGGTACGGGTAGGGAGTGTTGGGTCGGGTGTTGTGTTGTAAGTCTAGTGCATTTGTGTGCTGTCTATGTAATGCCATTTTGCTTATGATTCGTCGATTGAGTGCTTTGTGTCACTCATTGACTGCATTGCCATCCAATCCATGCTATAGTCGTCTCACTATTGGCTCAACAAAACACTTCATTTCGTTGTCTTATTTGACAACAAATTGACGCCAAATATCAACACAAACGCCGATCGCAGCCAATACTGGCCACACTATTGTCACCACAACTGGTCTGACCATCGCTTCCAGCACTCGATGTCGGACTCATTCAACACCAATGATGGCAACGCCGCCAACAGTGACGCCCAGCAGATGCTCGACAACTTCTGGCACAGAGAGATCGACAACATCAAGAACTTGGCTCAGGTTTACACCACTTTCCATCACATGATCACCCCATCTGATCCCCACCCGATCCCTCTCTCCTATACTATACACCCCATTGTCTCTCATTCTCCTTCTGTTTGACACAATTGTTGATTTGTTTTCTAACTTTTGATCTTTGATTTGTTTTGTGCTGTCATTTGGTTTGTCTCCCGAAGACTGACTTCAAGAACCAAGAGTTACCGTTGGCTCGCATTAAGAAGATCATGAAACTGGACGACGACGTGAAGGTATGCACTCTTAGCGCACAATTCAATGATTCATTTATTAACGGTTTGATTGATTGGAATGACAGATGATATCAGCGGAAGCGCCGGTTCTGTTCGCAAAAGCGGCCGAAATATTCATAACAGAGATCTCATTGAGGGCTTGGATTCATACGGAAGACAATAAGCGACGGACACTGCAGAGGAATGACATAGCGATGGCCATAACAAAGTACGATCAGTTCGACTTTCTCATAGACATCGTTCCCAGAGATGAACTCAAACCCACCAAAAGGCAAGACAACGACGCGATGCGCGGCGCTGTGGCCACGACGGCGGCCGTACACCCGGATCAGGTGCAGTACTACTTGCAATTGGCGCAACAGCACCAGCAGGCGCTCCAACATCAGGGCCCACAACAGGGCCAACAGATCCAAATCGTGCAGACGGGCGCCGGCGCTGGCGGTCAGCCCCAGTTCGCGATGTCCGGCTCCGGGCAGTTGGTTCAGGTGCAGATGCCCAACAGCGCCGGCGGTGACGGCCAAGCGGTGAACGCCCAGCAAACCACTCAAGTGCTTCAGTTGGCCGCACCGACCGGCGGCGCCAACGCCTCGCCAAAGGGCGGCCAAATACAGATCGTTCAGAACGTGATGAACGCCAACGGAGAGATCGTTCAGCAACAGATCCCCATCCAGTTGTCGGCCCAACAGATCCAGGCGTTACTTCAGAGTCAAACGGGCGGTCAGGCGGGCAATCAGCCCATAATCCTGACGTCTCCCCTCCAACAGGCGGTGTCTATGCCTCAGTACCAAATCGCCACCAGTGGTGGCCAACAATTCCTCCAAACCGTGGTCTCGGGTGCGGCCACTGGTGTGGGCGCCGCCGGTCTGTCCGCACATCAAACCGATTCGTCGCCACAATTGGACGACGAGTCAAACGAGACTTAAAAATGACACTTATTTTTGAATTTTCGTTTCCATTCATCTCTCAAACCTGTTATCAAATCATTGATTCATTCAAATAGTTATATAAATAATACAATTATCTCAACAAATAAATCGACTTTTTATCTGAAAACAAATTCATTTGAAAATAAAGACATTTTCTATTAAAAAATGAATGAAAAGTTGTATCGATTGACACGTTCTTTGAATTCAATAAATTTTATGTAAATTTTATATCAAATCAATGGCTAAAGAAGTTCACTACAACTATAGGTAATAAATATAACGCATAAAGCAAACTAATGGTCACTATATTTATGAATATTATTGTAAAATAATATTTGATTGCATTATACGTAAAGTGCGAGTCATTTATTAAAAGCTTTTGTTTGAGAATATAGGTAATAAATATAACGCATAAAGCAAACTAATGGTCACTATATTTATGAATATTATTGTAAAATAATATTTGATTGCATTATACGTAAAGTGCGAGTCATTTATTAAAAGCTTTTGTTTGAGAGTTGTTTCAAATGTTGTTTTGAATTGAATTGATTGTTATTTATAGACGCCGTGCACTCAATTAGTATTGCTTTTCAGTGCAGACGTCAGTAATAATTAGTGTTTTGTGTCTAAGCGTAAGTTTAATATAATTATATATTTTTAAAACTAATTATAATTTAATTTTTAATCTTAGGTTTGAATCGATGGCCAACGCGGGAGAAGAGGAGTGGGCGGGTGGCGACCATTTCGTGTCGGCACAGTTCGTGCCACCGATACGTCAGCCGCGCACTCATTGGAGCGCTGAGATGATAGCCGCTGGAGTCGCCATTTTGGCCATAACTCACGGACCCGACGGTCAAGTGGTTAAAGTCTGTTCTTACCTCAATTGTAAGACCAGCCGACGGCCAAAACAACAATCAAACTTTGCATCTTAATTAATACTTCATTATATTTTAATTTCTTAAACTTTAAATTGTTTCAATTAATATAAATAATTATAAAAATTACTCGTTTTTAAATTTGTTTAAAACTAAAATTTATTTAATTTCAATCATTACTTGTATTTAATTCACAGAAGATTACAATTAAAATATAATTCAAAATTTATTGCAAAACAATGTTTTAATAATGTATTTAATTAATGGGACAAAGAGTACGGTTGGAACACAGGTATGGTATTGATGTCGGCCTGAATGCTATGGGATGTGGTGGTCGTCGGCCGCGTTGTCCACTTCACTCACAAAACAGTTATAATGATAATCAGCGTATAAACAGTGGATCAGTTGGCAAACCTTGTGACCAGTAATTCCAACGGCACTGATGGTAACCAATGGAGTAAAGAGGGGGCAGTTGTTCGAGAGGTCGAGTGGGCGACCATCCAAAGGGTAGGCGCCGTACAGCGCCATCGGGTTCTCGAGTTCGCACTCATTGATGTCAACGTTGAACAGACGGTACGGATCCGATGAACCTATGGTTTATAACGCAAACATACGATAGAGTGGTGTGTCTTAAGTCAACTATCAATGGATGCAAACCTTTTAGTGATTATGTAATTATTAGTGATATATAGTAATGAATTTATAATAGATTTATGATTACAATTAGATTTAATTCTTAACCAATAAATGAAAAGTTAATATTTTTGGTGCATTTACTTTGTTATTCATTGATCACAAGTATTGTCGGCCGTTGTCTAAGTATTTAATATTTTTACTAAATATTTTATCTTATCTTTCATAAGACTGGAGAGAGAGAGAGAGAGAGAGAGAGCCAACAAATACCATATCAATGAATAGTTATGTGAATGAATGTGAATATGAATTGAATCGCACCGTCAGTCTCAGCCTCATTAGAATCAAGATAATCAAGAGAATCATCCACTTCTGGATTATAGTACGGATCAGTTGTCATATCATCACTTGTATAAGAATNAGTCTCAGCCTCATTAGAATCAAGATAATCAAGAGAATCATCCACTTCTGGATTATAGTACGGATCAGTTGTCATATCATCACTTGTATAAGAATAATCTAATCACACATTTAGAGACAATTTATATATGTTTTTCACAATAGCTTTCAAATGATTTAAAACTTGTATTTTCTGTCAATTAATTCAAATTACCGTATTTTGTACCGAAATATTGGTCACCAAAAAGTGTGCCATCGATTGGATGGCAAATCAATACAAATGAAACACAGGTATGGTATTGATGTCGGCCTGAATGCTATGGGATGTGGTGGTCGTCGGCCGCGTTGTCCACTTCACTCACTTCGGCTAAAAATATCGTTCAAAACAGTTATAATGATAATCGGCGTATAAAGAGTGGATCAGTTGGCAAACCTTGTGACCAGTAATTCCAACGGCACTGATGGTAACCAATGGAGTAAAGAGGGGGCAGTTGTTCGGGACGTCGAGTGGGCGACCATCAAAGGGTAGGCGCCGTACAGTGCCATCGGGTTCTCGAGTTCGTACTCATTGGTGTCAACGTTGAACAGACGGTACGGATCCGATGAACCTATGGTTTATAAGCAAACATACGATAGAGTGGTGTGTCTTAAGTCAACTATCAATGGATGCAAACCTTTTAGTGATTATGTAATTATTAGTGATATATAGTAATGAATTTATAATAGATTTATGATTACAATTAAATTTAATTTTTAACCAATAAATGAAGTTAATATTTTTGGTGCATTTACTTTGTTATTCATTGATCACAAGTATTGTCAGCCGTTGTCTAAGTATTTAATATTTTTACTAAATATTTTATCTCATCTTTCATAAGACTGGAGAGAGAGAACAAATACCATATCATTGATATGATATCAATGAATAGTTATGTGCAGAGCATTTCTGAATATGCATCTATAAGCAGTCAAATATGTCATATAATATGCAAGAAAACAGGGTCTAATATGCACTTAAATATGCATTTATTTTTTATAAATTTATTGATAAATATGATAATTTTGCAATTAGTATATTAATTATAAAGTTTCTCGGTAAAATTTTGAATACTTAAATATAATTTGAGGATTTGTTTCATATATTTAGTTAAAATATGTTCAATTTTATCATTGTTTCAAAAGCGCACAAATTTGAGCAAATTTTATTTCACTAGTTTTTAATTTAATTTAGGGAAAAGAAATATTTTCAATATATTTTGTGACTTAATTCACATTTATATGTTTTTAATTAGTTTGCAAATAATTAAATATCAAAATATTTTGTTTATAGACATACAAAAGCATACATTCTTAATAAATTTGTAAAATATGCGCTTAAAATGCAGTTATAGTTGAAATATGCGGTAACCCATGAAATATGCATTTATATGCATTTATAAACTCGGCTAAAGTGACCCCCAGTACATGATCGGTGGACATCCGGACACTCGCACTGATACTATGTACCGCTGAATATATGCAAGTATGCATTTAACAATTCTCTGGTTATGTGAATGAATGTGAATATGAATTGAATCGCACCGTCAGTCTCAGCCTCATTAGAATCAAGTAATCAAGAGAATCATCCACTTCTGGATTATAGTACGGATCAGTTGTCATATCATCACTTGTATAAGAATAATCTAATCACACATTTAGAGACCATTTATATTTTTACAATAGCTTTCAAATGATTTAAAACTTGTATTTTCTGTCAATTAATTCAAATTACCGTATTTTGTACCGAAATATTGGTCACCAAAAAGTGTGCCATCGATTGGATGGCAAATCAATACAAATGAAAACAATAGCTTTCAAATGATTTAAAACTTGTATTTTCTGTCAATTAATTCAAATTACCGTATTTTGTACCGAAATATTGGTCACCAAAAAGTGTGCCATCGATTGGATGGCAAATCAATACAAATGAAGTTTAACTACAAATGCATTCAATTTTTTTGTATTTATTGATTTCGAAAAAAGTTTAGTTACAAATCAATTATACGCCCGACTTCTTAGAGTTGAAGTATTCTTTGAGGAAATCCATGGCCGGCGTCTCTTTGCCGTAGTCCTTGACGACCACACAACTACATCCGACCACTTTGCGGGCCTTTCCCTCTTTGTCGATCTTACAGAGACCGCTCCATTCGCCCAACTTCTTGTTGTCGTCCACTTTGATCAAATCGATCTGATGTTCAGCGCACAGCGCTTCCACCAACTTCTGGTACATCGGCTCATCGCAGTTCGTCGCCAATACACACAGATGTGCCTGACGTCTACCACAACCACAACAACACATTAGTTATCACAACATTTCAATCATTAATTAATAATTCAAATTAAATAAAAAGCTTATAAATCAGAAAATAATTGGGTAACGAATCAGGTGTGTCCTCAAAGATTTATTCAGAAGAGGGAGTCCTGAATGATAGTCATCAGATACAACCACTACTCATAAGACAATGAATGGTAACTGTGGAGGAATGGCATACTTGTCGAGTGCTTTGGCGGCTTCGTGTAGACCGCGTGCGAGCCCGTCGTGAGTCAATGACGTCTTCAAGACTTCCTGCAGAGCCATATTCACGTCAAGTATAGGCGCCGCCGCTATTATGGGCGCCGAAGTCTCTCTACAATCACCGCAAAACACATCCAACCATTAGTTACAGGCATTCAATACACGTGTGTTAAGGCGTTTAGGCTTACCCTTCATTGTCCGACATTTCACTCGTTGTTGTCTTTGATTTGGGATTAAATTACTGTCAAAACAGAGACAAGAGTTTATGATTAATAAATTATTGTCAAAATAAATGCCAATTAATGGCAATTAATAGCGAAATAAATGTAAATTAAATTTAATTCAATTACAAAACACTTACACATGTATTACAATCCGTAGGAAAGGGAAGTGCAGGGAAGGCGACGTTCACTAATTACGTTCACTTTGAGTACCGCTTTTTAGTATTGAAATGTTTGCGCATTTCTAAAGGGTATTAATGTTTAGTTTGTTTTGTGTGTATTTTTATGCCCTTTTCGTATGCATATTATGTAAGATATTTTAACGTTAAAACTTTAAGTTCAATGACTTTTTTGTGAGACAATTGAATGCAATTTGTTTTAAATGTTAATTAATTAAACAATTATTTTATTGTACTTTTTTGGCACTTTTACATTTAAAATATATCATTTATTATCTCTTTTTTCTCACATTATTATATAAAATAATTATTTAAAAACACAGAAATTTATTTATGATAAATATTTTCTCATATGTAAAATAAATTGTAACATTGCGTACACTTTTTACGCTATATTTTTATAATTAATAAAATAATTAAAAAAGTTTTGTTGACTTTTTTCTTCTTCTAACACTTGGAAATATTGCATTTGATATAACACTTTGGATACACTTTTGTTTAGGAGTTTTGAGTATTAATTTCCGTAATTTTGACCCCGAGTTTGTTCAACACATCCTTCGACTCTTTGACAGCCTTTGAATCGATTGGAAAGACAAACAATATTAGAAAAATCATTAACTATTATAAGTTTAATAAACAAACAAAAAAGTTTTATTACTTCTCTGTCATCCCATTTGTCGGAGTTTTTATATTTGCCGACAACTGTAATGAGCAAAGACTTCGCCCTTTCGATGTCTCGGTTCAGAGCAATCAATGTCTTTGCGATTAGAACTTTGTTTTTGGAATAAAAGTCTTTATCAATCTCTTCGGCCTTTTCGAGGGCTTGAAGACCAATATCGAGATTAGCCTCCGGTAGTGACCCATAAATGACACCTAAAAGTAATGGACAATTAGTATTGTGGCCGACAATAAGATAACTGTAGTCTAAATACCGGCCAGTTTTCTCTCCACCCACGAGACCTGATTGCAAGAGTAATGCCATTCGCCTAACAGGTAGTGAGCGGTCGGATCGTTGGGCGAGTATTTAACGGCTTTTTCCATATGTATCCTTACGTTCAATACTTGTTCCACTTTCTCACGCGTGCCCTTCAGAGTGGACACAGCGTTCAGTAGTATTGCCGCCCACTTTAATCATACATTAATGACAATTAGTTTAACATAACATTTGGCATAACATTGAATTAGCAAACCTTATGTGCGGGTCCGCACTCGTCGCACAGTTCCAGCGCTTTGACGACATGTCTGTGCGCTTCTTCGAGCAGATTCGCGGCCTCTTTACTGTTGAGTGGCTCTCGTTTGCTCAGATGAAACTCACATCTGGCCACTCGCCAGAGGACATCGCAGTCGTCATACCACGAGGGCTGAGATCTTAGCACTTCGTAGAGTCGGTCGAACTTACTTTCGTCAAACAGACGGTCCGACTCTTCCATAGCCTTCTGGTGCTCATCCTTTGCCGAACGGCTTCCCCACGCCTTCACCGCTGGAAAGGCCAACGCCATCGACACCAGCGGTGATGCGAAACCATTTTTCCGGTACTTTGATATGATTGCCAACAAATTGGTCCCATTATTGGAAAAGTTTCTCAAATTTCTCACTCTTGATATCACTCTTTGAAAGTTTGCACTTTTGTGTAAAAATGGCAAAAATAATAAATTTCTAAACAATTCCTTTGCGTTCATCTCTTTCTATATGTTGTCTAAACTAAGCGTTAAGTTTTGATTCAAATAATAGTTAATCGCCGATCGGATGGGATATTAAGCGTATCGATCAAAATGTCAAACAATCGCCAGAAATATAATATTGAAAGAGAAGTCTAAAATCAAATGGCGTTTAGACTTGTTATCAGTGTAACTGAACTCAAGTCGAGTACTTTTTATTGCAGAAACACATCTAAAACATAAACACAAATGATATCTCTATTGTAAACGGACTCAAAACCGGCTTAAAAGCAATACATTTCCAGAGAGTGAGCACTGAATCTCTTCGAAACAATCCCAGGGTTTAGTGAGTCTGAGCGCTGGTTATCCTTGAAATACAGCACAAAATATGTGTTCGCATAGAAAGCCATTCAATAGGTTTTTGATGTGTACCTCAAACATCACTTTACGAGAGGAAAATCCCTTCATTAAGGCATCGAAACAAAAGTAAATGCAAAAAACATTTTGCGAAACACAACTTATAGTGGTTTGAATGCGTGAACGAAATAAACATATAATTATTTAAATTAAAGTATTTTTATACAAATTTTATTTCATTAAACAAAATGAATTTAATTTATAAAAAGTATGAAATAATACACTCTTTGTTGGGATGAATAGAAAATAATTATTAAATATTTGGGAAAAACATTAAAATTGATCACAAGAATCGAATAAATAGCCAAAAACTATCCATAAAAACGATAGTTTTTCTTAATCTTATTTTAAGTACTCATTAATAATAATAGCATTTCCTTTAATTTCATCGAAAAAATCTCTCGGATATAAAATAATTATTAAATTGTGAGAAAATGATTGTTTTGCAAAAAATGACATTATTTTTAAAAAATAAAAATAGTATTCGTATCATAAATACTTAAGTTATAAATCTGTTTTGAAAGGCAGTAAATATAGATTTTTATCACTTTATCTCTCAAATGAATTAATTGGAAATAAATCGCCCAAAAAAACACATGAAATTAATTTCAATTGATTTGTTCGGCAATTCGTTGGCCAAAAGATGTGCTGCACTTCTTTGCGTGAGTTTTTGCATTAATAATTAAGACGTTTCGGTTGAGACCCACAATAAACAACACAAACACAACGCCACGATTCAAATGTCACTATTATTTACACCAAAAACACAACATTTATCCTAATATTTCGTTGCATTTTGTCTTTCTTTCAATTTCACGTCAAAACCATTAATTACTCGTAAATATTAAATAAACTAATTTTTGGATCAAATATAAGGGAATGATTGTAAAGAAATCATTATTAAAACTCTTCGGCGTCTCTATAGTTGGGTTCTGCGGCCACCAGGAAGTCGTCGAAGAATCCGTACAAGTATTCAAACGTTGGCCTCTTCTCGGGTTCCGCTTCCCAGCAGTGAATCATTATATTATATACAGAGTCGGGACACTCGGTTGTGGTCGGCTTTGGCATACGGTATCCGCGCTCTACTTGTTCTATAACTTCCCGGTTATGCATACCTTTGAGTAACCAAACAAAACACATTAGCGTTTCATTCAAATTATAATTCAATTTTCATAATTAGGTTAAAATAAAGCAAAACAATAACAAATGTAAGGTGAAAGGAGAGCGCATACCAGGATAGGGCACCTGTCCGTGTGTTGTCAGTTCGTAGAGCAATATGCCGTAACTCCAAACGTCCGACTTAATGGAAAACTTGCCGAACAACGCGGCCTCGGGTGCCGTCCATTTGATGGGGAATTTGGCGCCCTGTCTGGCCGTGTACTCCGAGTCCTCGATAACCCGCGCCAGACCAAAGTCGGCCACTTTTACCACTTTATTCTTGTCGACCAATATATTCCTTGCGGCCAAATCTCTGTGAATCAGTTTCTGACTCTCGAGATAAGCCATTCCGCTGGCGATCTGTGCGGCCATATCTAAGAGGTCCGTGATTTTAAGAGCTTTGCCCTCTCGGGCGCGTAAAAACTCTAATAGACTTCCGTTGCACATGAATTCTGTGATTATTAGCAGCGGCTCCTCCTGTGAACACACGCCGTACAGCGGAACCAACTTCTCGTGTCTGCACTTTCGCATAATGGCTGCCTCTTCGAGGAATGCTTGCGGAGACATTGTCCCCGGCTTTAGGGTCTTTATTGCCACCTCTTTGTGACCTATCATTTGTACGTAAAGTCAACCATTAATTACTGAATATTTGAGTGCATTAACACAAGAGAAATGCATACCTTTGAAGCGGCCGTAGTATACTTTGCCGAAGTTTCCTCCGCCTAACTCTTTAATGAACTCCAAGTCCTTCCTATCGATCTCATCCTTCTTTAGCGGCCAATAACTGGGCTTAGATTTAGGGCAGGCTTTGGTCAACTCATGGCAGAGACCGTTGGATCCTTCAGTATAATAAGCGACTAATTCTTGTAAAGTACTGAATGTCTTCCTTGTGGTCACGTAATAGCCTCCGTTGTCCATCGCTTTGATTTTATAGTGCTTCACGTGATCGCCTTTATTCTGATCCCAATCCCTGATTGACAGCGAATACGCGCCTAAATAGTTGTCAGACAGAGAGACAGACAAACAAAACAAATACGAGTTATAATTGGAGTAATTTATGCCTCAAATCAATGACAACAACAGTAATTACCAGCTGTTTGTTCGCTGTTCCTAATAAGGAAAGTGCCCCGAGGGTTGTCGCCCAATAACAGCAATTTCTCCGCTTCTCGTCGCGAGATTTTGCCAAAAAACCAACTTTTGGTTCATTAGAAAAACAAACAAAAAATCAATTATAACTCTAAAATATTAATTAATGAAATAATAATAATAAGATTACTCTTCCATTTCGATGGCTTCGGAGACGACATAATTCATAGGAATATAACCCTTTTGATTGTTTGTGAGGTGTTTTGCGAGCCACCAGTCGGGGTCGACGTCGTCGAGCACATGGAGGCGCTCGCCTTTGCGGAAGGAGAGGTCGCCGTCGTCTTTGGCATTATATGTATACAAAGCGATCACTACTTTTGAATGGGACGACGACGGCGTCCGGTCGGCGAACGAGTCGTTGGCCGCACTCTTGCCGTGTTTGGCGTTTTGCACATTTGGCGGCACCGATGATAGAGGGGTCCGAGAGTTGGGCCCATTCTCGCCGGCCTTATCCTCTTTGGACCGATAGTTGGCACTCAAACGCTGATCCAAACCAACGGATTTACCGTTGATGGCGATATCACCGCTGGTCTTATCACCAGTTATACAGTTCCCCATAACTGTGACAATGAGGGGCGTTGGGCAGCACTGGTGCAGCACTTGTAGCAACACTTATCTGCAAAACACATCCATCAAGAAAATGCATTACATATTAAGGTTTCAATTGATTTGTTTGACAATTAAAAGCTAAACACAGAGAGGAAGCGCTCGTCGAAGGCTTCCCTCATAAATAATAACAACACATTTAATTGGATATAATTGAGAGTCATTTGAATATATCTGCGGTTCAAATCGTTCACTCGCTTCTCATTAGTATGAAATCAATTACTTTTTGAATGAATATTATATCCAATTATTATATAAACATTTCAATATGAATGCAAATCATACCATCATTTCCTCCAAACTTTTTCTCACAATTGTTTTCACATCAAAAACAACAACAATTCAAATGATATTCAAATCACTTTGAGATCTGAGAGAATAGTATTAAATAAATATCTTTTTAATGAATGTTAGAAAAGAAGAAGAAGAATGAGAACTAAAAATAAGACACAAATAGTGATTATATTTATGGAAAAATGAGATAAAAATACAAAATATATGTTTTTGTTAAATAAATAGAGAAAGAGAGATATCATAGGAGAGAGAAAAGGCATAGTTTTGTGTCACATATTTCATGCATGAGTTATAGCATAGGAAATATGCATTCTAGCCATTCGTATGGCTATTATTATTATGATGTGAATGTGTTTGTGAGGAGACTTCTTGTGTTTCAATGCATTCATACCAACAAAACACACAAAACAAGTATACATATAATAATCACCATCTCTTTCTTAGACACTGGTGTTTGGCCTAAACGTGTTGTCAATTAAAACACACACAACACTCGCTATATATCTAAACCAAACTGATATTAAATTTGAGTTAATTTAAAACACATGATAAAAACAAGTCCACAACTCAACTGTATATACAGTATATGAACGGCTGAATTCGGGTCAACACTCATCACATCTCATACACTACTAAATACTATCAAACAGTTATAAATATAAATACAATTTAATTGTTTTAAATCACAAACATTTATATATAAATATATATAAAATTTTATACACTATTTGACGATAAGAGGGAGAAAATTACATCAAAAATTCTCAACCAATCTAATAGTTAATTCAACCAAAATTACAAAACGCTATTAAATGGCTATTTTTGCACAACTTTTTCTCCACACAAATATATTTCTCAAAACACAAACTCATAGATAAATGCCTTAATTGTTGTGAATTTTAATTTCTATTTTTAAAACATTTGTATATATTTTCAGTCGTTTTTATAGTGAATTTAAAGGCGAGAAAAAAATATATTTCTACTAATCTTATCACTGATTATGTGAATTAAAATATTATAAAAAACAAATACAAATAAATACTAATCATTAGATATATGAGTGAATACTGTGTTTGCATTCACTGATTGTCTCAATTGAATGAATGCATCAAATCGTGTGATAATTATTGCAATCTATTATTTCAATCAATCGTTTCATTACATCAATCATTAATCCTATTATAAAATTATAAAACATTGAAATCACTATTAATTGAGACGACAAGACATTTATGAATGCATTCATTATTTAATATAAATGTAAATATAATTAAATGTCATTTAATATAAACACTCAATGAAGTCATTAAACAATTTCATAACAAATCAATCACTGAAATAGACTTTAAAACTGAAGGCATTTCCCATTCAAATAACATTACATTTTAATGTCATTTGAAAACACATTATTTGAGCCAAACTTTGCATACATTATGCAAACAAGTCATTAAAATATCCGCTTTTTGCCCAACATTTACAGTAAATATTGGTTTTCAAAATCAATACAAGTGTTGATAACCTTTGCATTGATATGATATATAAATCTATTAATACATTACATAATAATTAAAAACAATTACAATTCAAACACATATTTACCTCCGAAATGAAGTGTAAATTCAAACACAAAACTCAATCACAAAAAACAACAAAACAGTCGATAAAAATGAAGTGTAAGAAAATATTTGCCACAAAAATACTTATTGTAAATATAATAATAGTTTTAAATTAGAAAAACTCATTACAAAAATATATGTAAAAAATACTTATAAAAAACTTTATGAAAAAAAATAATTGTTTGGCTTTTAATGAAGTGATTATTAATTATACACTAATTGTAAAGACTTTAGTATTAATATTGTTGACAGACTTTACTTGTGGTCTGTATTTGTATATTTTGATGATTATTACTCATTATTTAGTGTTAAATATATTGATTATAAAACTAAATATATTTGTCGTAAACATTGTTTATATAAAATATATGTTAAACTCATAGACACTTTGAATGGCTATTGAATTGAATGTAAATCACGTTTTGAAAGTGATTTAACGATTGCATTGAAATCAATGATTACACCATTTTTGTCACACAATTCACTCACAAACACAACACTATTCACTATTACTCCCATTCATGAGATGTGTGGCAATACATCACTACTCTATTCCCAATACCAATACACCATTCACTGCATACACAATACATTTCAATGTGACCACACATACATCACGTTATGCCATAAGCATTACATGTCCCCCAACGCACCCCCTCTACAAATATTGCATTCATTATTTAACAAATATTTTACGCCAACTATCAATACGTCTCCCCCTTTCAAGTGTTATTATATTTGTTTATAGTCTCACATCAATTACGTCTAGTTTAACAAAACTTTCAAATAAATAGTTTGTAAATTGAGACACAATTAATATACAGTAATATTAATTAAATTGATTGCTATAATTATGGGAAGTGTTTATAATGTTAAACGTTGTTCAATAATTCAAATATGATTTTATGGCAAACTTGTTGGCAATGAATGGCATTGTATTGCAGGACATATTGGAGGTCAACGATAACGATAAGTTGTGATCCCTTTGAGGTTATTATATGAAAGACAGTAAAATTACCAAATTAATTACAATGATTGATCACATTTAATTAACAATAAATATTGATTGAAATAAAATAAATTATGGTATTTAAGGTTTAATATTGTGTTGTTATGTTTATACTATAGAACACAGATTAAGCACTTTTATACTTATGCAGCACTTTTAGGTTCTGCCAAAATACACCACACATTTTTAGGCAACAATCAAACTATTTTATAACTAAATTTAAAATATTTTTGTATTTCCATACAAAATATTAAACAGACTTTTATCCATACAATCAATTTATAGTTTGAATTAATACATTAAGTTAAATACAATTTTAAACATTCTTTGTGTTTAAAAAGTTTTTATTATATTAAATTCTAAAAATACATTATAAAATGCTTGAGTATTTTAAGCATTATGGAATTTTAATGGAATTTTATATAATAATTAAGTATATAATTAACATGTAATAATTTTTAATACAATCTGCTTTATATGAAAGCACAATAAAATAAAAAAATGTATAAAAGATTATAAATGATAAAATAATATAAACTAAATTAATATTTTATAATGGAAATTCTTTAAATAATAAAATAAATTATAAAGTATAACAGTTGTATAATTTGGTAATATAAAAGTAAATGTCAGTAACATCTTTTTCTAATTAAATATTGTTTGTTAATTATATATATTTTTGTAAATTTAAGTAAAACATTGTATTAATCTGTAGAATACAATTGAGAACAAGTATTAAGAAAAATGATATTACAAAAATCGACAACACTTTTGCCATCCCTTTCCACAGCACTTCCATATTGTGTTCATGTCTTTATTGGCTGAACGGACACAACTTCGCACACATATGTGATGGTAAGGTATGTACGGCTCTTCTCCCAGGAGGTGTCTTCCGATACCCGATTGGGCCAAACATGGCTTCAAACTGACCACAACTGCTATCAAAACTATTAAGTAATGTATTTTCATATTAATAGTCACTCATTAAATGAAATTTAGTTTCAAAAAAGTTTTATAACGAAAAATAAAAACAAGGATTTATTACATTTCAAACGTTTATATACACATATATATTGAATTGAAATGTTTGTCATTCACTCAACAGTTATCTCAATACTGGCCATGAATTTCACTCGTTTCGTCGACTGTCCGTGAATTCACTTCTTCTCTCCCATAGAATCCACTCTTTAGTCAAATAAATCATTCAAAATAACAAATATTTGTTTTCTCATCGCTTGAAGTGTCATAAAAAGTATTGTAAACTATTTTCAAGAATTGTTTTCACAATTATTGTTATCATTTTATTTATTAGCTTAAAAATCCTCAATCAGTTTATTGTGAAAAAAAACTTTGGGAATCATTGAGAAAATTGTGATAATTTATTTGAAATTTAATATCATTTGTGAGACAATATTAACAAAACCAACAAAAACATTCAAACCTATGGTATTTTCTTATTGAATGTTTAGTCAAATAATATTTCTTTAATTGTTTCATATTTTTAACCAATAAGTGGTCACAATTTAATGCCATCCTCTGGAGTATTACTGATATTTTATTGGTTTTATAATTTCATTGAATTTAATATCAATTATAATCTATAAGTAATTAAATCATATCTTTGTTTAAAACAATGTGTGAATAAAAGGTCCAATTGATTGACGTCAGTCAACAGATCCAAAGTTTGTGGTTTTAGATACATTAAAAACATTCAAATATATTTAATGAAACAAAATTTAGGACAATTTGTGATGAGATTATTGACACGAATCTCATTCATATCTTTGTCCCAATCTTCACTTCTTTTGGTGAAAGTAATGCCACGGATTTGTCTCAATCCAGACAATGATATCAACGACGCTTCGGTAATCCAAATGCCTTTTACGACTAAATACTGAAGATTCGGTAAATTATGGCCAATATTTGGTAACAACTGTTGCGTCCAAAGACTTGTCTCATATGATTCGGCCGATAGTTCAAAATGAGTTAATCGTTTCAAAGACGCCAATGAATGGCTGGTCAGCGGCTCTCCCATTACTATATCAACAGTCAGTTTGAGTCTCTTTAATGCCATAAAGTGTTCACTAATCGTATGAAT